GTCAGCCCTTCTTACGTGCATCACTGACAGGGGGCAACCGGGTTGAAATATACGAAGGTATTATCTTGAACCCTCGACCTTCAGGTTAGTGAGCAAGCGTCTAACTTACTGAGCCACCGCGGCTCCATAGGGGAATATAAATTTGAAAATTATTACATAGTTGAATCATAAAGTAAAAAGGCAAAACTCTTTTGAATTGTGAAATGGTTAATCAAAACAACAACTCAGGGGGCAACCGGGTTGAAATATACGAAGGTATTATCTTGAACCCTCGACCTTCAGGTTAGTGAGCAAGCGTCTAACTTACTGAGCCACCGCGGCTCCATAGGGGAATATAAATTTGAAAATTATTACATAGTTGAATCATAAAGTAAAAAGGCAAAACTCTTTTGAATTGTGAAATGGTTAATCAAAACAACAACTCGTAGTCAAAAACACAGAAGAAAGGGCTATGTGGCTATCGGCGCGTTACTCGATAAAGAGTGACCCTCTATCATTTCATAAACTGTCCCTATATACATAGGATTCAATGTATGCTTAAAGTTGAAAGCCATTGTCAATTCAAGTTAAAGCAGTTCTTTTCTTTTCAAGACTTTAACAAATATAATCTTTCAAAGTAGCCTACGTGCATGTCATGCTAATTGGTAGAAACCAAGAATAAACCGACACAATTAGAAATAATTTCTCGGGGGATTTTTTTTGTTTTTTGAAAGTGGACCGGAAAGCTATTTTTATTATGCAATTAAATCATTTTAATATAGAGCTAGCTTACGAAATTAAAAAGTTATTATTTAGTGAGCTATTGAGCTAGAGAGCTGTAGAAATGCTGCTTTTCAGTTTTTTGTGGTTTTTGATTTTGGATTGGTCATGCGGTCAAAATGGTAAGTATCGAACAGTTTCTTTCGTCATTAAACGTCTCACTTAATGATACTGTTTTCCCTCACGTCAGGATTGAAGCCATGTCGAGGAGGGACTAGACCACCTAAATTATATTCCCGTTTGGGAAGGGGTGGCGAGTGGAGGGGGTGGAGGGGGAGGGTCCACTGCTATACTATTGCCTCTTCATAAAAACAGAAATAGTACAACAGCAAACCATCCTAGAATATTAACCAGAGTATATTCTGAGGGTGGTTCATTATTGTACTGTTGTCTGTTTGGTCTAGGGAATCACCAGCCATCACCTAACTGCTGTCTGTTTATAGAAACAGCAGACATCACCTAATTTTGGTAATGTTTTACTGGGTGGCCATTAATACACTGCTGTCTGTTTATAGACACACTTACTAGGCATCGCCTAACTGTGGGTGGTCACTATTGTACTGCTGTCTGCTTATACCAGACATCACTCTGGGTTATATTCTAGACGGTTGTTCACGTTGCACGTGTCTTTTTATAGAAACACCAGACATCACCTAAATCTGGGTTATATTTCATTGGGTTCTCACTGTTGGAGTATTGTCTGTGTATAGAAACACCTAGCTCGGGATGATATTCCAATGGGCCGCTGTTTTACTGTTGTTGGAACAGCCTTTAGAAACAATATCTTTTCTCTTGTTGTGTGTTTATAGAAACACCAGAAACTGTGGCTCAACTAGATGAGTGGGGGCCCGTGAACATATGTGGGTTGGGGCCCCTCCCGTGGGACATTTTCACGCATTAGGGCCCTCATAGTCAGTCAGAGCTGACATCGAACCCCATTTTCTTAAATAAGGACATAACATTGTCCTTTATAGGGCCCCAACATAAGTTGTAAACCGTTTTATATTGTGTGTTAACCTTTTAGATAAACTTTGATAAAAAAAACATAAATTATTTTTTTCTGGTGTTGGGCCCCATTAAAGGTGGGGTCCGTGGACTTGGTTCAACCACTCCCTATGGTAGTCAGGTCTCTTACCAGAAAACACCCGACTAAGGGTTATATTCTCTGTAGCTATAGAAATACCAGACATCAACTAAATCAGAGTAAGATTCTAGATACCAGCCCACTGCTGTACCAGTAACAAATGTACAATAATCTGTCCTACCTAAAAACAAAAAAGGAAAAACGAAAATTTTACAAGCACTGTGTAACAATATCAATAGAATGTTAGAAAAACTAAAATAGGAATAAAGGGATTGTAGAGAGGTTTTCTAAAAATGTTTTGTGTATCCTTAACACTGATAGCATCAATTTGTACCATTCAAAGTTTCAATCAGACGTCTGAGGTTCCTGGAATTCCAATGAAACAAAATGTTTGATGATATCATTAATCGAAAAATTTGCTTTTACATATTCGAGATTAGTGACGTCATCAAACACGTGGTTTTAGTTGAATTGCAGGAACCATAGACGTCTGATTGAAATTTAATGGTACAAATTGATGCTATCAGTGTACCCGATATATATAATTTTTTTTAGAAAACCTCTCTACAACCCCTTTTAATTCCACTAGCAATACATCTTTACAGTTTTTCAATGATTTTAGTGTCAGATTTGTGTGGCAAGAAACAGTATTTGCCCTTCACACATCAAACAAAGAGATCTGTGAATTATGATAAAACAACAACGTTTACTGATAGATTTATGAGAGAAGGATGGTATGGTAGTCAAGACTTTATCATTCCGTTTGTAAAACCGAAAAGAAGACATTGTGGAGCTATATATCCAATCTTTCTACAACGTAAGTCCAATTACCAATTAGTTTTAAGGACATGTTCCGTATTTACGGAAGCTGATTTGGATCTTTTTCCTTTCCCTAGTTTATACATTGCCTGAAAATTTGGGTACCCGACAATTGTTGGTTTTGCTGAGACCGAATATGGTGAACCACGGCTTCTAAGTAGATTTCATGCCACGATAAATTTTGAATTAACCAATGTATATATTACAGAAGCGGATAAGCCAGGCATGCCTACCCTTTCGGTGTCATTCTGAGACCAATATGTAGATTTATCTTGTCTTTCACAGAGTTGACAATTATTGATGTTTTAGTTGCTTATTTCAGACTCGTATTTTTCTTTAACTACAATAAATGTAAGACGCCTTGTTTTTGTAGGTGAACCAGGTTTTGAAAAAGTTATAGAAGATGTTACAGCTTGCATTCTTGATTGTACATACACAATGTCGATCAAGGCACTAAGATGCTCTCCACGATTAACCATATACAAATTGACAAGACCGTTAAATAGTAACGCTGCATATTGCCTAGGTAAATGGTGATATTTTTCAAATTATCACTTGAATATTTAAGTACTTAATTCCGAAATTTACTGAAATATTATCTGAAATACTGAAATATTGCCTGATTTATCCACCGAATTATTCAACGAATTTTTATTTGAATTATTATCTAAAATATTATCTAAATTATTCAACGAATTATTTACTACTTATTCACCAAATCAGAATAATTTACCTTATTTATTTACCGAATAAACGTCTGAAATACTATCTGAAATACTATCTGAATTATTTTCTGGATTATTTACTACTTATTCACCAATGCTTATCTGAATAATTTACCTTATTTATTTACCGAACTAACAGCTGAATAATTATCTGAATCATTATCTTAATTATTATCTGAATAATTTACCTGATTTTTCTACCGAACTAACAGCTGAATAATTATCTGAATCATTATCTTAATTATTATCTGAATAATTTACCTGATTTTTCTACCGAACTAACAGCTGAATAATTATCTGAATCATTATCTTAATTATTATCTGAATGATTTACCTGATTTTTCTACCGAACTAACAGCTGAATAATTATCTGAATCATTATCTTAATTATTATCTGAATAATTTACCTGATTTTTCTACCGAACTAACAGCTGAATAATTATCTGAATCATTATCTTAATTATTATCTGAATTTTTTACTCAACTTTTATCTGAATTATTATCTGAATTATTATTTGAATTATTATCTGATTGTTTTTTCCATTTTGCTTTCAGATGGATTCGAAACCGGTACCGGTAAGTTTGAAAACAATGTTTTAAAATTATAACAATGCATGATATAACAAGAAATTAAGACATTTATAACTCGTTTATATTTCAAGCTGTCAAATTTACTTTATGTTCTGTGTTCCTATTTCTTTTGTTAAAGTAAATATGCATAGAAAAAGACATAAATAAACCAAGTACAAATGATCCGAACCGCAAAACGAAACCCAAAATCCGAAACAACATATTGACGAAATATTGGTAGCATCTAATGAACTTTCCCCATGAGGAAGTATATCAATAATAAGTGAGTAAGTATTTCATAACATTCCTTTTCATTTCATTTTTCTGTTTTCAGAACTATTAGATTTTGACACAAATGTGACTATTGATACAAACATAAGACTGGTTAATGGTTCCGAATATGAAAAAGAATTTAGTTTCAAATGTTCTTTTCCCAATCCAAATCAGGATTCACTCGTATACAAGGCGACATGGTAAGTTATTATTATTACTGTTTGTATTTATAGTATTATAAGATAGCGATGGAGGTGATGTATCCAGAGACTGATTCGGTTATAGCAATATACTTAATAGCCCCGTCACACCGGATTGCGATTATTTGAGATCTTATGGCGATCGAAATGTTCAAGACGTCAATTGTGAAGAAAACTAGAAGAAAATTCACTAAAAGGTCACAAACTTAAAAACAGTCGACCGCATACCGCAACTTATGCGACCATATTGCGTTCTAACGTTTTTGTAGCTTCTTACCAGATGTGTATTACGCTTGTATACCCTTCAAAGATGTTGTTACAAAGCTTGTTTAACGACCCTCTCCATCCCATGACGTTCTCAACGCGTTCCAGAACAGTTGGTGGGACCTTGGCGTTTGTTTTGAACATGTCCCAAAACGCAAATAGTGGCGACAATTGAACGATGGCTGTCCTGTCCTTATACCACAAATATGACGACCTTTACACGCTTTGAGCAAATTTTCCATCGCAGTAGCATCGCCTGAAGGACGCCTTTCTGTTGAGACGGGGCCATGAAATGTAACAAAATATCTAGATTTGTCTCTTACAAAATATTTTCACTGTTAAAATAGCGCTCTCTACTTCTACTACTCTATCAAGTTTAGAGTGATATAGAAATATTAAAACAGAACCTGAAAAATGTTGTTATTCAGAGTTTGACGCTGTGCGATCTTCAGACAACTGACCTATTTTCAGCCTGCCTCTTTACTGAAGTTGGACAAATAGAGCTCATTCTATCCTAAGCGATCTTCAGACAACTGCACAGCGTGATACTCTGAGTAACAACATATTTATGTTTTCTATATTAATATTAGCTGTCTAAAATTCAGTGAAACTCCGAGTAACAACATGTTTTAGGTTTGTTTTGATATTTCCAGATCTGTATTTTTACCAGATTGTTATTTAACACACATTAGTAATGCTTTATCTGAAGTTTCTAAACAATAACAACAAAATTCTCAATTTTATCAAGATCAGTATATTTCGTTCCGAATTGCAGGTTATTACACTTGACTTAGAATCTGAAATGATTCAAGCTCTAGTAATGTATGAATTGTATTTATTACAGGTTTGTTGATGATATGATGGTATACGAGTCTTACTATACTAATTATGACGATTGTGATGCAGTTAGAAGCTTGACTGATACTAGGCTAAGGGACAGTAACATCACTACACTCGGTTTTCAGGTAATAATGCAACAATATGACACTATTTCAGTCATATGCATCACTTCTCGAAATGAAATTGATGAAAACAAAGAGGGGGAAAAATCGATTTCTCGATTAAAAAATTCTAACACCATGCACCATGGTACGGTGGTTCCTATAAGACATCATTTATTTTTTAACATTTTGAATTAAAAAAAGTGGAATATAAGTATAAAACATAATTTTGAATTAAAAACTTGTATTTTCACCCGGGTGAAAGATGATGTCATATACGAACCACCGCACTGTTGCCCCTACGGATATATTACTTAACCCCCTGAATAATCAGGTCTGGATATGGATTTTTATTTTTTACTTTAGCTTCACTGTAATATAAGAGCTGCTAATAGTATTAATGGTAAGTGGATGTCGAGTTTACCGTCAACTAGTAGAAAGAAGTTTATCGGAATGGAAGTGAGTTATCAATAATATGAATACAATTTTTTTTCGTCACACGTTTTGATTGAAAAATTTAATCACCTCAAGACGAATTGTCTCTTCATTGTTCTTTATTAACTCTGGATATAGTCAAATTACTTTATCCTCATAATTCAAATCTTACCAAATAGACAAAGAACTTGATTACCGTTATACCAATCTTAATCAAATTCCATCACAATTTCGTTCCTTTCTTGTTTTCTGATGTTTCTCCATTGTAATCTAACAAGTTCTGTACCACAGTCCGTTTCTAATGAAGTTATTCTTAGACAATCAAAGCGTGTCATTTAGAACTGTTTTTGATAACAAAGCGATATCACAGCCTCTTTGTGATTCGATATCCCACAATTCGTCATTATGATAAAATAGCGGTTCTATATGTCAAGCCTTTTTGGTTAAAGGGGCATTATGTTTTTTTTTTGTACGTCAAATTTTGGTTTTTGCTCAAATGTATTAGCCCAAAATCTAGAAAAACATGTCCCTTAACATATCTGAAATTTTTAACCAAAAAAATCCAGCCATATTTATTTTAACTCCAAAACCGTTTAACCAAATTACGTAAGCTTTTTGAGTTCGTTATGAAAAAGATAAGAGTGAAAACTACCGTACGGATTTGAGCAAAATAAAAGCCAAATTGTAGAGAAATATATCTCCTGCTTATTCTGAAATTTTGCATACTGCCCCTTTAAAATAACGTCATAAGATTGGGACCGTGGTTGTTGTATAAAGGTATCCAACATAACATTCATGATTGATCATATTTTATTCAGGTTGAGAATCCGGTTATAAATATAAAAGAAGGAGAACAAACAACAATAAAGATTCGGTCCACAGTTCCTATTGGTTGTTTTGAACCTGAGGGGTGTACATTAACAGTAACTGCTGATATACCCCAGGATGCGGACAAGAAATGTGAACCTACTCCTACAGCTAATGGTGTATGTGGTATTTCTATTAAGACTGTAGAATGGAACGAGTGGTATTCATTTAGAGATCACCTCAACTATAACTGAAGACTATGGACAAACTATTACTCAAAGGAAAGTATTTCTACGAACGGACGGTTTTTATATCGGTCATCAAATCTGGAGGGATTATTTCCTTGAACCAGTAACGGTAAAGTTTATTTTATTTGGTGTTTTCGACCTTATGAAGTTTGAAGAATTTATGGCATCAATCCAAACTCTACAATATCTCAATGTTCAATGACAAATCCCGTTCCCAACCTTAATATATACGTTCATAATTTAAAGGGATACTACCTCGAGAATGGATATACAATTTAAAGTCTCAAACGTGGTCAATAAGTGTGTATATTCATCAGTTGGACTTTTGGTCATACTATTAGGTAGTATACCTTAAAGCTTTTTACTATACTTTCAGATTAATATTGTCAAAGATACATCACTCATTCAAGGCAAAACATGTAAAATGTACAGTGATCCGTATTTGGAGGATTTCTACACACATATGTGAGTTACAAATAGTATTTTGATCTCAGTAGGACACAATATCTTTGTGTAGTAATAGTAGCCTCCTACAATCTTACCACCATCTATTAGCTAGTTGGACACGATATCTTGGTGTAGTAATAGTACCTCGCTACTATCTTCCACCATCTGTTAGCTAGTTGGACACGATATCTTGATGTAGTAAAAGTACCTCGCTACTATCTTATCACCATCAGGTGGCTAGTTGGACACAATATCTTGGTGTAGTAATAGTACCTCGCTACTATCTTATCACCATCAGGTGGCTAGTTGGACACGATATCTTGGTGTAGTAATAGTACCTCGCTACTATCTTATCACCATCAGGTGGCTAGTTGGACACAGTATCTTGATGTAGTAATAATGCCTCGCTACTATCTTATCACCATCAGGTGGCTAGTTGGACACAATATCTTGGTGTAGTAATAGTGCCTCGCTACTATCTTATCACCACCTGGTGGCTAGTTGGACACGGTATCTTGGTGTAGTAATAGTGCCTCGCTACTATCTTATCACCGTCTGTTGGCTAGTTGGACAAGATAATCTCGTATTGAGAACTAATGTTATATATTTTACTCTTCTTCAGGGGAAAGTCTTCATTTCAAATGGAAGGTACATTCTACTTATTACAAATGGATAATGTGGAGGTAACACAGCTTGAATTATTAAAAATTGATTATACCCTATCATGCATAGTTTACAGATTGAGTTACTGTTAGGTTAAATACTTTAGTTTGGAAATGAAATAAATATTGGATTCATTATACCCATTTATAAGTGTTTAATTAAAGTGTTTTAATTAAAGTGTTTATTTAAATGCATAACAAATGATTCTCTGTATAGCTTTAATTAAAAACAGTGAGCAAATGATAGTACCATTTGATTAAATATCGGAACACAGTTTCATGATATACTAATCCAAAGGTTAGATGAGCTATACCCCTTTATGTCGCTTATGGATTAAGAAGCATCTGAATATATCGTGAGTTTATCAAAATTCACCAACGACTTAAAAAATAACATATTGTTTGGTTATAAGAACATGGTTTTTAGCTACCACTACTTTAATAGGTCCAGGTGCAATTAACGGATTGTGCTACAGTGGGAGGAGGGTCTTGTGTTTGTGGTGTCGTGGTAAGAGTAGGCAGAACTGCCTTTATGATCAACCACTGTAACCTAGAAAACTGGTACATTGACTATATATTATGTGACGATGGTGGTGATATTCTTGATGTAAGAAAAAAAGATGAAACGACGTTTGAGGTAGGTAAACTGAAAATAGTTCGAATCTTGAAATGTATATATGACAGAAAGGAAGGCTACAAAAAGCATTTGTGAAACTAAATCGAATAAAACGCTTTCCACAGTAAATAAGAAAGAGATATATTAAAATTGTTTTGCCATTTTGTTTTTTGCTTTTAGCTATTTTTACCAACTGATACAAAAATAAGCATCACTCAAATTGAGAACTCCAATATCCACTGGTTGAATATTTATATATACCCATCAGTAAGAGATATCGGTAAAACATCTGGTTTATGTGGGGAATTAACAGCCAACCCACCATCCGTACAATACGATGACGCATATTTTAAGTCTTTCAGGTAACTTCTAATGTTCCCTGTAAAGCATCCATCAACAACAGAAAACACAGGGCATAGCGAGAAAGGATGATTTAGTGGCCATATAAAATCGGGATTTGGAAATCGTTTGCTTGACAAGTAATCACACGAATTCCTACTTCTAATCGTACATGTTCAAGAAAACCTCTGGGCTAATTGACTGGCAAATACTTCAGACAAATCTCTCCAAATATATACTAGAGCAGATATTGAATGCGGATTCAAAAGAGTTACATTATAATAGGTTACAATCTAGTTATTGGGACGTTACATTATATAATCATTAAATTTACAGAGTTCGTGCAGACGTTAGCTTGTTTGACCCAGGAAACTGGAGAACCCTGCCAGAATGGGCATCTAATAACACTGTAAGATTCCAACATTGTCGTTGTGATGAGAGAGTAGCTGGTGGAATAGACACATCTCTGAACTGTAGTCCAGTACCAGGGGCGACAACCTGTTCTTCAGACACAGATTATACCTTGTTCCATAAAAAAAAATGTATCAATCCTTTACGAAAGAAAAGATCACTTCCTCTAGGGTTGCAACCTCAAATATTACTCCACCGACGTCTCAGGCGGGTACGTTATAAATGCCCGAGCTATACCTTAATACCTTGTCTCGAAGGTTCCATACAATTGACGAAAATTATTGTGCCATTGTTCCTAAAGAGTTCTCAACACTGTTTGCATATCGGTTGTACTTTAGATATATTTCTATCTAATACGTCTGGTTGTAAATATGTTATAGTTGTATTTAAAAAAAAAACTATTTCAATCTCTGCTATTAAAGATACCGTGGCGAAAAATGACATTATCTAAGACCAATGAGTTGATAACTTTGCTATTCAACAAGACTAGCTAGCCCAAGGCCATGCTTCAACAACACGTGATGTTAATTAAGATATCTATTTTATTCTAGGATGTAAGTTGGAAGAATGGATGGACTATGGACAGTGCTAATGAATATTGTTCTGGTCTGTTTAATAATTCTATGGTTATTAAGAGATGTGAAGGTATAAGAGGTATTAATATTGAAGGGGCTATAGAAACCTGTGTCAGTGATATACAGGTATGTATATCAAGATATAATGACGTACCCGTATCATCACCAAAAACCCCAAATTGATTGTGTCATAACTTACAATGCTCCTTAAAAATCGTTTACTGGCGCTGAAGTTATAAAATTGTAGTTCCAAATTCACGACCGAAACAGTGTCTCAACAAGATAAGTGGGGGCCCGTGGACTTAAGTTGGTTTGGAGCCCTTTCCTAGGAATTGCTCTACTGCATTCAGAGAATCCTCTGTAAATCAATTTTATGTCTGTTTATAGAAGATTAAAAGAGTTTCAGTGAGTGGCTAATACTATTTCACTCATTTATATATTGCTGGTTGCTGATTGGTTGATTATAATTATACTAAGGTACATTTCTTAAATTTTGTAATGATTTTTCTGGCGATGAGTGAACCAGTTCAACCGGTTCCCATTGTAGTTGAGCCACTGGAGGTGTAATTTAAACTAAAAATCAATGGACGTTCTCCTTTTAAAGACTCATTTATATTCTAGCTAAGTGGAACTGATGTGTTTGCTCTCTCCGCCATATCGTCTGTCAGTTCTCAATGTTTACGTGAAGCCAGAATGAATGGGACTTTACGAGAAAAAAAGGTGGATAGCAATAAAACTATTCTGGAGTTGGTGAAAGAAGTTGCATGTCCTGGAGAATGTTCAGATCAGGGTCTTTGTGAAAACGGTGAGTGGTCTCTAATGATATAATAATCTCATTGTTTAATATAAACAAACCAAGTGCTAACGGCAAAAGGAAACCCGAAATCGAAAACAACATATTGGCGAAACATTGGTAGCAGCTAATGAATCTTTCAAATTAGTAAGATGTATCAATCATAAGTGAGTAAGTATTTCATGATGAAAAGTGATATCATGTGTCTAGAAGAGTAAGCATACCCTGCCTGTCGCCACACCAGTCATTGCTACTCAAATTACACATCAAACACGACAAACAGGAAGACAAAATAACCAATAGTGACTTTAATGACCAATTTCAAAAGTTCAAGGGAGATGAAAATGTTTTTCATCTGTATCTAAGAATTTTTTTAGCCCATTCAATGTCATGAACAGCGTACTTAAACATGAAACGACCAGAAACGACCAGGAAACGACCAACAAAAACGTGAAACGACCCGGAGCCAAGCAGGAAAACGACAGGAAACGACCTCAAAATATTTTGAGATGAATTCTAAGCATGCTAATCAGGACGAACAGTTACTTCATTTTACGAAATGTACATTTGGGAAAAGTGCACTTTATTGACCTATTGATCGGAGGTCGTGAAGTGTAAAGGGCTAGACCGGTTTATTTTCAATGTAAAGAATTACGCTAATTATGCGTGAAACCATATCTAAACCGTTTATAATATAGTTTCTATAAATTTGCATACCCACCGAGGAATCGTTTCAAACATCAAATTTGAAGTTTCCTATTATAATTGATACGAGGCCGGTGTATGGCGACGATTTTTCGATCAGAAATATAAAAATTAACTTTGTTTGTGTACTTCTCCGGTTGTTATATATATGTAAATTATGGATTATTATCATTATAACAAAATTCACAATTCACAATAATGAGAAATGAAAATAACGAAGTTGGTCGCTACTTTTATTTTCTACCGCGTCTTCCGGTCGGAAATATGTATAGTTAACGCTGATTGGTTCAATTGGTCCAATCAAAATTTAGTTTTCATAATCATAGATATCTAAAAAAAACATGCTCATAATTTGGTAGTCGCTATTTTCCAAAACAGTAAAAATGGAGGCGGCGAGAATTAAAATACTTACGTAACATCTTCCTCTACGTGTTGGCATGAAGTATTATGTATTTCACGATCAAGACCACAAAAACTCACTGAAAAAAACAGTCTAGCCCTTTAAAGTGACACTATGATACATTAAGTTTGTAAAAAGTCAACAAATATGCTAAATTTTGTCTGAGAGACATAATACTGATAGTGAAAATTATGATCGGTAGCCTTATTCCCCTAAATTTCACATATATTGAAAAAAAGAAACAGGAAAATAATAATTTACACGAGGGTATCAAGTAAGGGATAGAAAATGCTATTCCTCATTCTGCACTTTATTGGGCTGAGCTGTCGTATACATAACTCTGCGAATGTGCCTTATGTTTTCATGTTTAAACTGCATTTGTTATTCCAGGTAAATGTATCTGTAACTCTGAGTTTATTGGATCCGACTGTTCAGTATCACTCAATGAACCACCATTAGCCCACAATCTAGAAGCTGATGGACATTGTGATTTATCACAAGACGATTGTACTGATGTGGCTGTTTTTGGTGGAAGATTTGTAGATGCTGAGCAGACCAAGTGTCAACTGTTACCATTTGAGGTATTTTGTACTTCTTACAGTATGTTCTGATTCATTCTTTAAACACACCCGAGATAAAATCTCGAAATTATTAACACTCGTCTTCACAAAAGATTGTAACTACTGCTGAGCACTCATGAATCCTATGGGACTCTCACTCTAATAACTAAATTTATCCGACATCCGTGTTGTTGATGGTAACGTTTTTTATACGCCCACACATTAATGTGGGCGTATGTAGTAGTCGCCCCGTCTGTTTGTCCACAATGTCCACAATTGCTTGTGGACACGATAGAGAGCTGGTTTCTTGATGGATTTTGACGAAACGTGGTGTGAGTGTTTGTAATCACCCAAGGATGAACCCTATTGAAAATCAGACGAATCGAAAAATATTTACTATGAGTTATTGCCCTTGTTCTTGAATTGTAAGCTTTAAACAAACACCATGAAATATGAAAATTTCACTCTCAGAAACATTCATTTACTGATAGCTCTTGTCAACCTCCCGGACAAATTAGCTGCCATTACAAATGTGGGCGTGTTTCAATGGCATCGCTATTTTTGTTTATTGAATTGTGTAAAGGGGTATAGTTGTCTATATATTGTGGGTGACCACTTGAAACTTCGTATAACGATATATGACGCGAAATTACTTTTCGAGAAAAACGCAAAAACTATTTGTATGCGTATTTTGTTGAAATCTTGTTTATTTGTTTTACTGCTATACATGGTTTTCATTCTTTGAAAATTTAAACCTTGTATAACAATTTGAGTACTCAGACCTATTTAACCCAACCATTTACTCGTATGATAGTACGTACAGTATACAAAGTTTTTCATTTTCATCCGCAGAAAAAGGAACATTGAACCTCATAATTATAATATAATATTTTACGAGGTCTTAAATCTGACTGTTTATATAATACGTGTTATTTAATTGGTTGTTTTTGAGTTATTTACAATCAAGTTAAGAATAAGAGGTTTTATCCGCGATTGAATGTTAATTGACGACTCTTCCATTTAAGATATGCTGTGATATATATAAAAGATATGTATAGAAATAACGAGTACAAATCCAACATTTCTAGCACTTCTGAACAATATTTACATATTTACAGACCAAAATAGAGTCCCCAAGAGCATCTAATTTTGATTTTTACACTAAAACAATTTAAAAGTAATAAAATCATCAAATTATATCATGAATAACTATGGTAACATATTGAGCTCTATATTTTAGAGTATTGTGCATAAATTAAGGGATAGTTTAGAACATCTTATTATTTATTGAACATCTGCTGTGGCAAAGGTAACATTTAGAATTAAAGGAGTAACCCAGTCTACTATTTTCATTTGTAAAGAAGCACAAGATATATAGATATACTATTTCTGACATTTATTAACTCAACGTTTCACATGTTCATACAGACAGTGTTATCAAATATTATAAAGAATCACTAGATATATAGATATACTATTTCTGACATTTATTAACTCAACGTTTCACATGCTCATACAGACAGCGTTATCACTTCTATTGATATAGTATATTCATATATCTTGTGCTTCCTTACCTACTCCTATATCTATATGTCTTAAAAACAGAATAAAAGAACACATGGCAGACATAAGATTGGAAAGGAAGACGGCAGTGTCAGATCATTTCAACGGTGAGGGACATAAGAAAAAGGACGCTATGAGAGTCAACATACTGGAAAGGATATGCGATGAAGCGCGGAACGTGAGAATCATCAAGGAACGTGATTGGATGAAGAGGTTACGAACGAAGGATCCAAATGGGTTGAATAAGCAGTGTTCGGTTGGTTTTCTATGGAAGGAATATTAATGGCATGACGAAAGATGAAATGACGTCGTAAATGAACTTTTGACGTGACAACCATCAAACAGTTTGAGTATTCTAAACTTTAAATAGTTAGTAAAATAACGGAATAAGATGTGATCGAGATCTATTTTGGGTGTTTCTGAAGAAGGCAGTAAGCCGAAACGTCAAATAACAGGACAATAATATAGTTTTAAACTTGCAGTATTTTCATTTGGCTTGTTTTAATAAACAACAATAGTATTTTGGACCACAAGATAACCTTGAATGAATATTATATTTGCTGTTCTTAAGTATGTCTGAGCTTTGGAATGGAGGAGCCAGTTAGAAAGTAGACCTGGCAATATGTCTGGATATAGACATCTAGATATTTTTCTCTACTAATTGATTCAGCTAAATTCAAACTTGTTTGATAATATTGGCATGAGAACAAGTACTACAATCACTTTTACCATTATTTTTTTGTTAATTGAAAATAAACATATGTTCAGTTTTCTCTCTCTGAAAAGTAATAGTGATGGTTAAGTTCTTTATTAACTGGTGAAGCAAATATTTTTAAGGTTGATTCCCTTTAATTAAATTTTTTAATTGTTATGTAGTTTGTGTGAATATTTTATTTAGTTGTTCTTGTGTGCATGATTCGTAAATTGGAATCTTCTGTTTTCATTAATGCTAATTTAATACCATCATGTGGTCTGTAGCATAACTCAAAGTTCATAATTATCATAATTAATATCATTTGTAGTTTCAATTTGTCAGAATACGCAAAGATATGCGAGGATAGTTTTTTTGTCTCTGAATTTGCCATAATCGTTTCAGGGATTAATAATGCATTTTGATCTTTTTCTTGTCAGGAATTAAGGTTCTAACATGTTTTATATGAGTAATTCTGTGGTAATTTTAATGTTAATTTAGAATACTAGTCATAGAAATATATTATTGAGTTTCTGTCAACATGGTGCTTTATTGATCTTTAGTATAATTTTGACTTGTATAAACCATCATGTTGAATTTGATTTACAAGAAATATTGTCATATTATGGCAATCCATCATGTGGTTACCCATTATGTTGAATTCGACATGTGGTTACCCATTATGTTGAATTCGACATGTGGTTACCCATTATGTTGAATTCGACATGTGGTTACCCATTATGTTGAATTTGACAGTGGTTATCCATTATGTTGAATTTGACATGTGGTTACCCATTATGTTGAATTCGACATGTGGTTACCCATTATGTTGAATTTGACAGTGGTTATCCATTATGTTGAATTTGACAGTGGTTACCCATTATGTTGAATTCGACATGTGGTTACCCATTATGTTGAATTTGACAGTGGTTATCCATTATGTTGAATTCGACATGTGGTTATCCATTATGTTGAATTTGACAGTGGTTATCCATTATGTTGAATTCGACATGTGGTTATCCATTATGTTGAATTTGACAGTGGTTATCCATTATGTTGAATTCGACATGTGGTTATCCATTATGTTGAATTCGACATGTGGTTATCCATTATGTTGAATTCGACATGTGGTTATCCATTATGTTGAATTTGGCATGTGGTTATCCATTATGTTGACTTTGACATGTGGTTATCCATTATGTTGAATTCGACATGTGGTTATCTATTATGTTGACTTCGACATGTGGTTATCCATTATGTTGAATTCGACATGTGGTTATCCATTATGTTGAATTCGACATGTGGTTATCCATTATGTTGAATTTGACAGTGGTTATCCATTATGTTGAATTCGACATGTGGTTATCCATTATGTTGAATTCGACAGTGGTTACCCATTATGTTGATTTCGACATGTGGTTATCCATTATGTTGAATTCGACATGTGGTTATCCATTATGTTGAATTCGACATGTGGTTATCCATTATGTTGAATTTGACATGCGGTTATCCATTATGTTGAATTTGACATGTGGTTATCCATTATGTTGAATTTGACATGTGGTTATCCATTATGTTGAATTTGACAGTGGTTATCCATTATGTTGAATTTGACATGTGGTTATCCATTATGTTGAATTCGACATGTGGTTACCCATTATGTTGAATTTGACATGTGGTTACCCATTATGTTCACTTTGACACGTGGTTATCTATTATGTTGAATTCGACATGTGGTTATCTATTATGTTGAATTCGACATGTGGTTATCTATTATGTTGAATTTGACAGTGGTTATCCATTATGTTGAATTCGACATGTGGTTACCCATTATGTTGAATTTGACATGTGGTTACCCATTATGTTGAATTCGACATGTGGTTATCCATTATGTTGAATTTGACATGTGGTTATCCATTATCTTGAATTCGACATGTGGTTACCCATTATGTTGAATTTGACATGTGGTTACCCATTATGTTGAATTTGACATGTGGTTATCCATTATGTTGAATTTGACAGTGGTTATCTATTATGTTGAATTTGACAGTGGTTACCCATTATGTTGAATTTGACATGTGGTTATCCATTATGTTGAATTTGACATGTGGTTATCCATTATGTTGAATTTGACAGTGGTTATCTATTATGTTGACTTTGACATGTGGTTATCTATTGAATGTTTGTAATCACCCAAGGATGGACCCTATTGAAAATCAGATGAATCGAAAAATATTTACTATGAGTTATTCAAACTTGACATGCTAAATTAGTCCTACTTGAATAAAAACGCTGTAAACAAATCCCATGAAATATGAAAATTTCACTCTCAGAAACATTCATTTACTGATAACTCTTGTCAACCTTCCGGACAAATTAGCTGCCATTACAAATGTGGGCGTATTACCATGGCATCGCTATTTTTATTACCTTTTTAAGATAAAGAACGACCAAGTTATTATCAGTGAAGAAAGAATAATACAGACAGCAGTATTTGAGAGTATTGGAGAAGTAACGTGTAAATTACCATCTAGAAAACGTAGAAGAAGATCAGTAGATGTACCAGTTATTGATGAAACTGTGACAGGTTATAAAGTCTCCGTATCTAATAATGGCCAGAACTACAGTCAACAGTTAAATTTCATCATATATAATACAGAATGTATAAACTGTAGTATAGATAACTCGGATAAAATGAACTGCTCATTTTCGGTAAGATGTTTAATTTGCTAAAAAATAACAACCATTCTAACTTTTGTATTATAGAAACTATATGTTATAGTAATGGTTTATTTCAGGTTAACTATTGTATTATAGATACTATATGTTATAGTAATGGTTTATTTCAGTCTAACTATTGTATTATAGAAACTATATGTTATAGTAATGGTTTATTTCAGGTTAACTATTGTATTATAGATGCTATATGTTATAGTAATGGTTTATTTCAATCTAACTATTGTATTATAGATGCTATATGTTATAGTAATGGTTTATTTCAGGTTAACTATTGTATTATAGATACTATATGTTATAGTAATGGTTTATTTCAGGTTAACTATTGTATTATAGATGCTATATGTTATAGTAATGGTTTATTTCAATCTAACTATTGTATTATAGATGCTATATGTTATAGTAATGGTTTATTTCAGTCTAACTATTGTATTATAGATGCTATATGTTACAGTTATAGTTTATTTCAGTCTAACTATTGTATTATAGATACTATATGTTATAGTAATGGTTTATTTCAGTTTAACTATTGTATTATAGATGTTATATGTTATAGTAATAGTTTATTTCAGTCTAACTATTGTATTATAGATGCTATATGATATAGTAATGGTTTATTTCAGTCTAACTATTGTATTATAGATGCTATATGTTATAGTAATAGTTTATTTCAGTCTAACTATTGTATTATAGATGCTATATGCTATAGTAATGGTTTATTTCAATCTAACTATTGTATTATAGATGCTATATATTATAGTAATGGTTTATTTCAGTCTAACTATTGTATTATAGATGCTATATGTTATAGTAATGGTTTATTTCAATCTAACTATTGTATTATAGATTCTATATATTATAGTAATGGTTTATTTCAATCTAACTATTGTATTATAGATGCTATATGTTATAGTAATGGTTTATTTCAGTCTAACTATTGTATTATAGATGCTATATGTTATAGTAATGGTTTATTTCAGTCTAACTATTGTATTATAGATGCTATATGTTATAGTAATAGTTTATTTCAGTCTAACTGTTGTATTATAGATGCTATATGTTATAGTAATGGTTTATTTCAATCTAACTATTGTATAATAGATACTTTATGTTATAGTAATGGTTTATTTCAGTTTAACTATTGTATTATAGATGCTATATGTTATAGTAATGGTTTATTTCAGTCTAACTATTGTATTATAGATGCTATATATTATAGTAATGGTTTATTTCAATCTAACTATTGTATTATAGATGCTATATGTTATAGTAATGGTTTATTTCAGTCTAACTATTGTATTATA